CCTTCGCCACATGACCTTCGCGCCTGTTTCGTTTCCAATTCCTACCTTCAAGCAACGTCCTAACTTTCCAGCAAACATCCATTCTCTTCTCTCACGTCCCTTCCCCGCCCTCCCCTCCCCCCTCCTCCCTTGCCCCCGAATCGTAAGCTGTTTCCCGCAATACTCATAATCCGTCTCTCTCCCCGTCATTTTCAACCCTTTCCTCTTCCCGGCGATCAACCCAACCGAGCCAAGTTTTAGTGGTTGTCAAAACCCAGATCCCTTCTAAAGCCCACAGTACTAATGCTTTTCGTTTTAGACTTTCATACTTCAAAAAAAGCTCAAGCTATCGCAAACAGGGCCTCCCAGCAGTGCCGCTACTTGAAACAGTTTTATCTTTGTCCGAGAAGGGTGGAAAATCCAGAAATATCCACTTCATCCCATGCTAACATCCATGCAAGAGGCAGCTAGGGCGGTAAAATTTTGCATCACATGGATCAAATTACCCAAATATGAGGAGATGAAACGAACGTTAGGATCGCTAGCGGGATGAACACCAAGTGAAGCAACACTGGCTAAAGCAACTTCAAAAGGTTCAATGGCAAATCAGTTCAAGAATCTAAGCATATTGTAATCGAGTACAAAAAGTGGGGTGGGGCACTCAGCAAGCAAAGCAGCCACGGCTCCTAATTTTCCCTGATGAAAATGTTAGCGAATTTTATGCAAAATAACGGCAGATAGTGAACACGAAGAAGACGTTTACCGAAAATGCGGTAAAATCAGGCAGCATAGAAAAACCTCTTTATCAGCAAAAAAAAAAAAACTAATCAGCAATAGAAAAAAACCAACGAAAACAACAAAAGTCAACAACATTCATACAGGAAATAGCAACTGTTAGAAAAAAAAATATTAGAAAAAACAGAAAGCGATAACAAAAAAGAATTATTATAGTAAAAGGCTATACATAAAAAACAACTTCAAAAAACGACACATAAAAAATAACAGTAATACATAAATACTAACAGTAATACATTAACTAGTAATATAATAATTGCTTAATCATACAATTGCTTAATCATACAATATCAATCACATATAGAAATTTAGTAATTATAGCAAAAAACAATATTAACTAAACAAAAAAATCTTACAATTACAGCAAAAAACAATAATATTTGTAACAGAACTACAAAAAAAAATCTTAATTCTCTATCTTCAGCTGGACGCAATTCAGCGGCTGCTGGGTTCACCCAAAAATAAACCATTTCCACTTCCTTTCCTTAGCTTCGCCTGC